ACGATAAAAATTACTGAGTGAGAAAATTTGATAAATAAAGCACACAAGAAATGAATATATCCCAAAACAATATGCCTGCACACCAAGTTTAAATTTTCTGTAAATTTCTTCATGAGAATACAACTATACCTGATCAAGGCTTAGTCTGTATGCTGAAGATTCCTCAATATTTACAGATTAGCCAAAATTGTTCCAATCCAGTCCTGATTTCTGCAAAACAATTTTGTATGTGCATACTCAGATATCATGTCATTGTAGAAAGTTCATACTGAAATTATACAGCATGAACATCTTGTTTGTGAAATTAAAATCTTTACTATTTTCTCATTACCTTAATGATGGACCTATGAAACATTGGTAAACTTGTACCAGACTACATGGGACAAGAACCCAGAAGACAACAATTTTCCAAATCAAAGTTTAATCAAAGCACACATTTCATTCACTGCAGCTATTCAAGTACAAAGTCATAAAAATAGCATTAACTCTGAGCATTTTGCATAACTCAACATATATTACTTCCTACCATTAAGCAAAAGGATACCTGAAATCAGATATTATTAACAAACTGTGAACAAAATGTAGAACTTACTTTTGAAGATACCAAAAGTGGTATCCAAAAGTAATAAAATTCCCTGCAGTTCCACATCTTCATGGTACTTGGAAACTAATTCTAGATTCAGTAAAGAAGACCAAAGGCTCTTTAGCTTATCATCACTCCATTTTGGGGTCTCTTCTGTCCCACATTTACTGGCAAACATATAGTTGTCACAACCCAGGGGAATTACAGAAACTGCCATACTGAATTGATACGACCTACGAGCCTGCAATTTCTGAAAAAGAAAATACATTTTTGCTGCTTATACTTATATATTTTGTAGATTATTCTGTCACTACTACTTTGGTAAATTAAGAAACAAACATATCAGGGAGCCAAACTTCAAGGTTATGTAATTCACTAGTAAACATGCTAACTTGGCATGTTTTTCTTTTTTGGAAAAATATCCACATCTAATTTTCTCAAAACTTATGTAATAAAGTGTGAAATAATAAAAAATGAGCACACGTCTACATCAAAAAATAAATGTCAACACCTTATACCTATAGATAGAACTAGTGATGTGAAATGACCTAATGCTTTTATATTGCCCGAATTTACACTTTGTTTCATGAACGTAGTGCATATATTAACCACCTGGGAATACATATAGGAGCCCTACCTTTTCTTATAAGTTGTGAAGCATTGATTCATCAAAATATTTGACGACAAATTTTGCAGTATTATTTCCACGAATTTTTAACAAGAGTAAAAAATCGCGAAACCCCTATAATACTAAAATTGTTCATTGAGGCAACATACAAGCTACAACACAACCACCTTTTAATGACATACACTAACAATCACGCCATTTTCTTTTTCTCTTGCATCTCGTTGTTCGCGTGACTTCGTTCCTGGTGGTAGATTTGCAAACTAACACTGCGCAAAATTTAAAACAATAATTAAAACAGAATGAACGGGATTTCTTTGAAATGAACCACTAGTTTAAAAATATTGGCACTCTAATTTGTATTCAATACATTATACTTAAACTAAGCGCATTATGTTTTGCTATGAGGACTGGCACATCAATCATGAAAACAAAAAAATTACAATTAATCTGCTTTGCTTACTTCTGTTCTATCATGTCATACAGAATTACTTTCTGGGGAACTAAGCAGACAGCAAAACAGTAATTAAAAATAAGTAGTAAAAATATGAGAAGGCACTAAGAGGGGAGCCTCATGTAGGGAGTTACTTAATTATTTATGAGAAATTTAATAGTCTCCCACAAGCCAGCAAATTCTTGCTCATGTTATTAAAATTTGTAGTGGATAACATAAAATATTTTCAAACTAACTCAGCTAACCATAATATAATTACATGACACAGATATAAGATTCACCTGAAAAACATTAACCTCTGTAAATATCAATATTACTATACTGGAATTAAGCTATTCAATAATTTTCCCCCGAATGTCAAAAGTCTGAATCACAATATAAAAAAGTTTAAGCCAGCACTAAAGCAGAATCTCCTGTTTCACTCTTACTCCATAGAATAATTTACCTCAACCAAAAATTCTCAGTTATGTTAAATACACATAAGAAATAATTGTGATGCTTTCTTGTGTAATTACTTTTGCTGTAATACTGTAGTAGATTGTAAATCACTGTCATAACTATGTAATTTATATTTGCATCAGGAACAGTTATTATATTTGTGCTATGATATGTTCTACTTTCTTGGTTTAGGCCTATGAACGATCTATAGAATGTAAATAAATTCTATTCTTTAGAATTAACATGCGCTTTCATGCCCGCTTCTACCTATGCTATTGGACATTTCATTGATGATAATCACATCAATTGAAATAAAAAGAATAAGAACAGATTTCTAACAGTTTTCAATGACCCTAATGTAAAACGTTTCTCAACAGAAAACAATAAATTGTCATAAATGTGTTTTCAAGCTTCTCACTGTGAAGACCCAGGTTCATGCCCAGGTCAGTCCATGTAAGACTTCTGGTGTACAAAGTGACACTGGGAAACGTTTTACTCTGAGTTCTTCAGTTTTTTCTTGTCACTACAATTCCACTGTTGCTCCATACACTCATGTATCATCCAGAGGATGAACAAAGATCATTTTAAATTAACTAACTCAAATTAAATATAAACACTTTAAAGCATGGATATTTTTGCCACAATGTCCAGACCTGATCTTTAGCCCACTCCACCTCCTATTCAATGGGTAATTTCTCAGAAGTAAGGCAGTTGAAACTGACCAACCACTTCACTCTATAGTACCCTTCACAAAATTGGATGTTTAAAGGCTAGAGAAAAATCGTTCAATGTTATTCTGGGTTGTGACGCCGTGTGGGCTCGTAGGTAGATACAAAAGTTTCGGAGAGACATACTGTTCTCATCTTCGGCCCTGAAGATATTTCCTCCGAAACGTTGGTATCTACCACGAGCCCGTGTGGCTTCACACCCCAGAACATAATCTTCATAATCATAATCTTGAGAATCTAAAATTTCACAAAATCGTACAAAATGCAAAACCAACAGCTTAAACCCGCTGCAACAGGATCTATGCAATATTTTGACTACTGCATTCCTCAGTTATTTCGTATTATTGGCTATCTGCACCTGCATAATACATCTACTGTAACATTTTATTTATTTTGTAAGATTATGCACCGCGTAGGTAAAAACACACACTGCTATAGGAATTTACGTTTTTTTGCAATCTGTCATCAACAATCTAGCTGTGAAAGGTTGCTGAAAACCCCGACTTTATTTTTTTTTAAAACAGCATCTCAATATTTTAGTTCACGACAAAATACAATACAAGCTTGTGTCTTGTGTACGCGTGGTGATTTTACGCCGCAATTGGGCCTTTTCTTTTCACTGTGATGCGATTTACACCACAAGCTTCCACTGTTAATTCGTGAGATTTGTAGGCATTCATAAAATGCTGTTTGTTCAGAAACTGGACTTTACGGGGTTAAATTCCTTTTTAAGCCGTCTGCGGACCGGATGTTCTACGGGCCTGGTCTATGAGACTGATTTAAAAGGGCAGTCTACGTAAAATTCTGCACGCGTAAATGGATAGCTTTTGCGCAACCGGTTGCACCAGTTTCTATTCTATATATGGGCTCAAAGTCAGTTTTACAGAACTTTCGGTTATCTTGGCAGAATGAACGTGCTTACAATTACAAGAGAAAAAACGTCAATCCACTTCCTCTGAATTAAAAAGATTGTACATATATGACTTGGGTAATAAGGATACAGAATTTGGGTATGCATGCACTTGGAAACAACACGGAATTCCTTAATAAGTTTAAACCTACATTATTTCAGAATTAATCCACTGTTTTATTGACGACAGTTGAGGAGCGTTAGCTGACATCACTACAGGTTGATTTTATTGATGGCCAATATGACTTCGGACACTAACATTTATCTTCATATGTAAAAGATGCATGAATTTATTTTCAATTTTACCGATAATAGACTCATTACAATAAATATAGTTTACCTCTTGTGCAATACCTAATTACGAGTCATTTCTTGTGATACCATATTAAGCGCCAAAGTATAGTTTTAACTTTCTAACGACGTATTCCCAAGATTAATACAGAAAACCATGTAATAAGATAACTAATCAACATATAACAAAATAAAATCCAACAAAAAATCTCAGTCGAGAGAGTACTTAATTCTTGTTCGAATTCACCGTACCCGTTTTGATGTTTCCGTGATCATTTGCAGTTTGGTTCCTTCCAACAGTTTTGGAAAGTTTTGTTCGGGGTGCCTTTTTTTTATACCGAAAGTCACACAGCGTCTTCATCCTGTAAAGTGAGAATATAACAGATGTTGAACGCAAAATGCAATTAGCAGGAACATAATAAATTTTAATAACATAACTCATTTGCTGATTATAAAAAGATGAAAACGATAAAGCATAAGGAAGCCGCAAACTATCTTCCAGCTGCGCGTCTCCGATCGGGAACATAAGAATGCGGGCTAACGCATCCTTCAACATCATAACATGCAAAAAAATACTACACTAAAAGGAATATCAAGAAGCCTGAGTCTTGGTACAGATTTGTCTTTAAAATGTAATTCACGAAACTTAAAATTTGCAGCCGCAGTTAACGATGTTCATTTCTCACAAAGCAGACAAAAGACAAATTCAGAAATAACGAGACGGGCAACACTTTACTTCTGATATAGTACTATTTCATTCAACTGTTCTCTTTGGGGCATTTGCCCTCTTTAGAACTGTTCCAGCTAATTTATTATTTAGAACTAACAACATTTATACCCAGGAGGAAAATATTTTCACGAACATTAGCCATCGACGCTTTGAGTTGTATCCAACCTGAAGTGAACCCACGTGGAATCAGTGATATACAGTACAATATCAAGCGCACTCATTTTTGGCACATAAGATACGAGGATTACGTATGTTGGTCATAGTTTTCTGTAATGCATATTGCGATCGATGGCCACATACACTTACACAGTCGTGACATAACGAGTATTCCCTTTAGCAGTCCAACAACAGTCGAAAGTCCCAAATTCCAATGGCTGTACACGTCTTGTCTAATTGGCAGAGAAAACTGTCAAAACTCAATACATAGGCCAACATAATAACTCACATCCACCCATCCCATTACGATTATGTTCTTCTGAGTTTTTGCGCAAAGTTGGCTGATCGGTACACACCCCTGTTTCGCAGAACTGCACTGTTTCCATCTTCAGAGCTGAGGTGGCGATGCTATAAATAAGAGGGATTATATACGGAAGCAGAAAGGTAAGCCTGAAGGAATGGGTCATCAGGACGGAATGAGGTAGAGACTGAGCTTCAGACTTCCCTTACTGTCACTCTTTATTTCCAGCACCACAATTCGGTCATGAAGACGGAGACATTACGTCTCTTCGAAACGTTGGCATATACCGACCAGTCCACAGCGCTGAAACCCAGAACATCACATTATCGTCAAATCACACGAAGATCAAGTATACTCACCAAATGTATCTGACCAGAGGTATGAAGCATCTTTCAGTAACAGGTCACGAGCAAAATTTGCACCCCTGAGATCTCGCCTCGTTCGACCAGCTGGAATTTCGAAACGTTTACAGCATTATTTATGTACACATAAATCAATGACCTAATCTAGCAAATTAAACACACGCATACATACATACATTCTTTCCGTTCATATTAATGTAGTACATTGTATGAATGTAACACCTAAATTAGATAATATACGAAATAGAACACAAAACTGCCTTCGCCTGTTAACTGCGAAGGCTGCATGTAAAGTGGGTCATTAACTGCGATATTTACTCGTTCACCGAAAATTACACACGCATCAACATAAAAGACGAAACGTGGCTCGGCTTTGGCTTATGGTGCTGGATCCCCTACTTCAATCGCGTAAAATGACTTAAGCTGGAATATAAACCTAAAAAAGAACCCTTATTTCATTTTAATTCTCTGCAACTTCGGTATCAACCAATGCCTACAGCTTCTGTATTTATCGCCAACACACTGACATAAGGGGAATAGTAGGCTACGTGTTGTACTTTTCATTCTTCAGTAACAGAGGTTCATGAACGCGAAAACTGTAGTTCTTTACAATTAACTTTCTAATTGCACTTAAAACTAATTTTCATTATGAAATTTGAGATACGCTAGTTACAATACCACAGTACGGTCTAAGCACTAGTAGATGCCACTGCCTTCCTCCATCCTCCTCATATGAAAATATATTTCCAAAGTAAGATACCATATTTTACACAAACACAAAACAAATGACAGAAATAACGCTTAGTAATATCCTGAGCTTCAGTGTTCTTGGAATAGTCAGAATAATGTTTAAAAATTG